AAAGAGCTTTCAGCTCGTCTTCACCAAAGCGCTCAATTATGGGCGAGCTGGGCAAGAACCACTCCGGTGGGTGGATTACCTGGCCACTGACTACAGGTCTACAACTTGTAGATCCAATAGACCAGTAGCTAAGAATGCTTCAGCTTCAGAGACCAGTAGCTAAGAATACAGCTCCTAGGTTCTGCTTCAACAGGCTATGAAATTGTGAATAGGAAAAGGTGGGTATGAGGGAAAAGCCGAGGCAATTGAAAGAGAATGCTTTATACTAAATTTATCCGACATCATACTGATTAAAATAATCGATACCTATTGAGTGTGCAGATGCATCAAGTGAATTGTCTATTAGTTGTCGAACAGCACATCCTAGCGAGACGATCACCTACAACCATCAATGAAGCAAATAAATCAAAGAATTCTAAGCTCTATCTTTCCCTCAACCGTGACATAATGGAAATCGTTTCCTAAGCCTAATATCCAAGGCTTTTGAGACTAGGTTGCTTTGAACAATACCATAAGCTGTTTTGATTTGGCGTTTTGTTCATAGTTCCTATTTCGCAGCAATACGCGACCTGAAAGTCTCTACCAGAACAGCGTGAGGTTTCTTTACCCTTGCGTCTCTAATATGGGTTTTTATGATGCTAGTGGGAATCTTCCTGAGAGTGTAGAACAGTTCATATAGAATGCTATACGATCTCAGGAACAGCAAAGATATTTAGATCAAATTTCGGTACCTGAGCGGTGCTGATCCGAGCCGATACATCTTTTGAAATGTGATGGATTTCTCGTTTAGCTTCATCTCGCGTAGCCATCTATCCAACAGGATCCTCTCTAAATTAAAATAGTTTGGCTTTATTCATTTCGACTTTGAGAAAGTGAATTGGAACACTGAGGACACCGCAGTAACCAATTCCTGTTAGTGGTGGATATCATTTATTAATTAAAAGGGTTAATAACATTAAAACACATTAAAAAATAAAAACCTAAATTGGTGGTTCGTTTCGCCTCTTACATCCAGACGAACCACTTTGTTTTTTGCCAACCCCGAGGCTCATCAGTGGATGAAGGTTGGCAAAAAACAAAAAATGCCAGAAATCTCAGCCAAACGTTCGAAACCACATAGATTAAACGCAGAAAGGGTATACCTTCAAGTTCCGCGAAAGAGTAAGACCATGGTATGAAAAAGTAACTCGAAGCATGAAAGGGTTAATAAGATTCGGACGTTTAACAGAGGTGATTGACCTACGTGGTCCCATTTAGACGTCTTTAGCAACTAAACAAGCTTTTAGAAGTAGGAAAGCAGAATGGGTGAAGATCTGTGATCTGGGTTTGAGATCAGGTAATTAAAAAAACAGAACTAAACTTAAATATAACACAAGCAAAAACGTTCAGATCTCTCGATTCATCAACATCAGGTGATCATTTTATAAAACATTTTGGAATCAGAAGGAATGGGGAATATAATAAAGAAATGTCTCTTTCAAATCAGTCTTTTGCCAACTGCAAGGAATTTGCCTCAGGCTGATCTATTGATTGAGAACCTCATTAGCGCTCGCGCGGGTGGTTACGGCTTCACTTCAAACGTCGCCTTGGCCCCATCTTGTTTGTCGTGTTATACGTTTCGTTAGAGTCTTTTTTCTTGTGATTCCTTTGAAGAGAAAACCTTTCAACCATGGTTTTAATTGTTGAGAGTACCAGGAAAGATCTTCCTTTCGATCTTCGACATTCTGTTTAAAGAATCATGAGATTCAGCTCCTGTTCGAAGGCCAGATCATGTCAACCTGACATAGGCTCCTACAATTTGACTGGATTTTGTTTCTGCCATTTTTGCCCACAGGTATTCACCTACGCCTAGAAACTTGTTCAATATTAACCTTTCAATCGAAGCTTGATTTCTTGCGGTGCTTTCACCTTCCTGTACTATATTTGAACTGAGTTAAATCCACTTTAACCCTTAAAAACAGCATGAGCGGATATTTCAATTGTACTCAATTTCTTGCCCTTTGAGCACACTAGGCCATTATCACTCCTATACGACCTGAAGAACAGTTGTTTCTTATATAAATTATAGCCCTTCATCGGGTTTTTGTCAATTCAAACAAAATTTCGTTAGAACGAATATTCGAGAAATGTTCTCCTTAGAGCGGTTCATATGTCACAACAAGTGAGCTTTTCCTTCATGTTGGCTCCTTCCGGTTTCATTGAAGTTCTGCATCATATATTTATTGACCACTTTTACGGTTCCGTTGGATTACTACTTCGTGAATGTTTCCTTAAACGTCTCATATTTGAGCTCATTTCATATTGTTTATCTTGTTATTTCGACTTACAATTGGATACACCTGTTGCTATACCACTTCTGCTGACAATCCTGTCTCAAGTTCATCGTGGTCACTTTGCTGGGAATTCCTGATGTTTCTACAGTGCAATGTTACAACTTTGTTACATCTGATCATAGCTTCCAATAATCTTGAGTTTTTTTGCCATTATGGAGTCCAGCGTGATTCTTATGCAATAAGTGTAGACACTTGAGATCTTTTGTTTTTTACATCACGTATTACTTCTTGCGATTGTTGGTTAGAGCTCTCCACAGTGTCCGCCGTTTTCAAAACAATTCCATCGTCTTTTTCCGCAATTGATCTAAGTTGATCATCCGAATCGGTCCTATCTAACCTCTACGTTGCTGATTTCGTTCCTCAGTACTTCTCCAGTTTCTAGCAGATTTAGTTCACACGCTCCTACTATCATTGTAATAAGGATTTCGAGCTTCGTTGCCCCGTAGGAGGTCTTTACTCCCTCATTGACTAGGGGAAGCCGGCAAGCTGAGAAGAGAAATCATTAGCCTACCAAGCGTAGGTTCCTCGCATGCTCGCATCTCGCATGGATTGCAGAATTAGGCCAAATGGCTCGTTTTCTCTTACCTGGATGCTCCCCTGTTGTTGGCTCTGATACCTGGGAGGCTTCTCTACCGAAGACGAATACAGCATTTTAAACGCGATCTAAAACTAGCTTAAGTAGATCCTCACATTTGTGCATAGGCTAAAGAAAACAAATTGGGTACGCGGGTGGAAATCTCGAAAATGCTGCCTCCATGGCGACCCTCTCCTTAGGTGGAGGCTGTGATGCTGCTAGGAATTTGCGGATTGATTTTTTGGGCAAAAGGATTTTTCAAATCACTGGGTTAGTTTTAAAGTAGAATTCTTCATTTTGCTTCGAATTAGCTCAAATGTTTCTCGTTTTCTTTTCTTTTTTTTTTAAACATGAACCGTTTGAATGAATGCACTCCTTTTCTACTGAAACGCCAATTTTCAGCGGTGTGACTAGGATTTTATTTACAAAATGGGTAGATGTTGACCATTGCCGGCTATTTTTGACCATTTATGAGCAGCGGATGTTGAAATCGTGACTAGAATCTGCTCATGTTGTCAACAACGATTTCAGATATAGGATGACGCTTGAAGGAGTGCCTGGGGTTTCATCTTAAAGCCTATGAGCCATTCCTACGAATTCATTGGAAATTCGAGGCGTCCGCTTTGTCATTTCGTTTTTAATTTTCGATAGGAAAGACTATGTTTTCTGATATTCACGACCTTTACACTTCGTTCGAACGTGTGCTGCGATTTATGATTTCGGGCGTTTGATCTTTTCTATATTGTGGTTCGTAGGTGTGGTACTAGGCCGATCGAGGATCACTGAAGGACGGATCGTATTCCTTTTATTTATAGACACCATACAACGATGAGAGATTACTCCGAAATAGCTTTGCCCTACCGTCAAACCATCTCTCCATTACCGAATCGACAGCTCCCTCTGAGAA